GAGGGTCTTGCNAANGNTCTTAAAGTNCTTNTGAGGATTNCTAGCTCGATCAAATAGCTCCTAAATCATGAAATCTTCTTCTTTGCTTTGTGAGAAACACTTTCTCAAAGATGGTCGGTCTCGCCATGCTCCTTCAAAGGACAACTCTTGAGGGAATTCTTTCACAAGTGAATTGAATATTTCTAGCATCTCATCACTTATAGAACGTGACCTCTTGGTGGATCTCTTGGCAAACTTAACTCCTTTAGGGGGGTATTTTACCGAAATTCTCGCGGTGAGTTTTCCTTGGCTCGTATTTGCCTTCTTGAATGGTCTAGAGACTTCGTCTTTGTCTTGATTAGAGGTGGACTCGTCCTCTTTAAGGGAAGTAAGAGTGCAGCAATTAGCTTTAGGTGTAGGTTCTTCTTCTATTGTTTCCAATCGAAGGCAAACTTGCACCGTTTCTTCAATTTTCTTCAAATGATTGTCTAGTTGCTTCACATGATTGGAGGTACCAATTGCTTCTCCTTTAAGTGAGGTTGTCTTCCCAATAAGATCATTAAAATGTCCCGCCAAAGAGAACAAGTATTGTAGAGAATGCTTCTTGATGAGTAACTTTCGTCTCCTCCAATGCCTTCTCGGCTTCGTGGGCTTTGATAGCAGTAACATTGACGCAAGTTGTAAGTTCTTCTAAGTTCCCATTAGAGCTAGTGGTCTCCGTTTCAAAGTTCTCCCAAAGACTATCAAGACTACGCTTGAAACCATGGAGTTTTCGCGCATCGTCTTGAATATCTTGCGAATGTTTCTTTTGTATTTCTTCAAGGTGGACCAAGCGTGTGGTGTTCTCTTGGATTTGAGCAGCAAGGATGTCAAACTTCCCTTCAAAAGTCGAGAGAAAGTTTCCATCTTGATATCAACTTCACGAAAGATTTGTTTGGTATCTTCCATGAGACGATGCATATATCAACGCTTCTCCTTTGTCTTATTGGTGTTTTGAAAGGGGGCGGTGGTGGGACTGTGGTGAAGGTGGTGGCTGATCATGATGAGGACGAGGACGACTTTCTCCTCCATAAGTTTCCCAAGGTCGATCCACTGAGAACTAAGTGATGATGTGCTACAAATCTATATGATGCGAATTAAGCTAGATGAATATAGTATTTGGTTTTTAGGGTTTATGGAAGCAAATAACAAAGCAATAAAGTAAAGATAGATAGTTCAATCAAGGTAAAAGATTAAGCAACTCTCAAGACATATGCAAGACACAAGCAAACGATTTAGGGTTTTTAATACTAGTTGTTCTAGAACTCAAATCACTAAGGTAAAATCATACCACTGTCGTGGATCATACTACTATGTCTTCTTCCCTAATAGACTCAACTATCGTATGGTTATTACAAGGTGAAGACATGCGTAAAGTGTAAGATTCGATTGTTCACTAAACTCCTTAACTAACCTATCAAGTTGTTCAGACGCTTAGCTTATCAAATACTAGGTCTGGAGATGTAACAAGCTTTTGGAGAGTATATCAACCTCATATCAGTCACTGGTAGCTGGCCAGATCATGCTTTGAGCGTGAATAAAGATGAAGAATCAATTCTAGAATAAAATCTTAAACGTTCAATTATGTGATAACATAGAAATAAGAAAGTGTATAGAAATCAAATCAAGGCTAATACTCTACATGTTTTCCAACAAGGAGCAGCAAGAGTAAAGCAAATAAACATAGTATAAATCGTTGATCTACAAAACGTAAGGGATTAGATCTCATCTCTTTGCAATAGGGCAAAGTCGAACTACCATTAAAGGCTTTTAGAATCAAAGATACATTAAGAACAATAGATAAACGAAATACATGTTTAGGTAATGATTTTGGCTGTTATGTCCGGCTGCTCTTACTTCCTAGAGAGGCTAAAAGCAAGTATATTTAGGGGTTTAAGAGGTCCTAAGTCGGCTAGGGTTATCTTCGGGCAAAAGAGACTTTTACGTCGAAACTGAGGCAACATCGATCACAATATCGGTCGGGTTGCGTGACCAATATTTGAGGCTTCCATGACGTTTCTAGAAGTTGGAAATGGCCTGGATCATCGGTCCACGGAGCGGCCCGGTGCTTGGCTCATTTCTGCACATGCTTCACTTCTAAGGCAGTTTGACAAGTCTTTAGTGTTTCCAGTGTATCTTCTAAAGTACAGCTCCAATTGGTGTCGTTCTAGCATCATTGGAAAGATACCTCAAAGGTATATCCTTACACCTAGTTTCATTAGATTCCAAGTTGATTTGGTCCCCCGTTCATCAGTGAACTTCTGGCATATACGTTATGTCCAACTTGAGAATATGCTTTATCTTCAGGATAGTGTGGCTTGGCTTGGCTCTTTTGACTTGAATAAGTAGGTGTATCATAGATAATACTCCTTTTGCTCTTTTTTTGCATCCTTTTGATGATTAAACCTATTAAGATCTTAAATCCATATATACGAGAAAACTACATCTTTTGGTCGAAAGGCTTAATTAAAGTATATAAAAACATAGTAAAATAGATAGTAAAAGTGGTAAAATATAGGGTATATCACTCCACTTGAAGACATTGTCTCCCTCCTCTCTGAGGGTGCAGTGTCAAAATGGGAGATTCTGACTCCTACTCACCCTAGTCCCACGATAGCCTTACTATATAAGATATGGTGTCACAACTGGATGCCAACCATGGATGAGATGGTCATCACAAAGAAAGGGGTAACCCTGATCTACATGATTGACACCAATACTCCATTCAACTTTGGTGCCCTTGTAGTCGATGAAATCTTTCTCAGCCTTAAAGTAAACAATGCTTCCCGTCTAGTATTTCGTAATCTCATCGAACAACTTATGGAATATCAATGCCATGTGCCATCGTGTGTTAGAGATCTTCTCTCGTCTCCGCCTGCACCATTCTTGCTCCCGAAAAGGCACTGTTACACGGGTGGGTATCCTCAAGTGCTTATGACACCTCTGTGGCGGATGACTTTCAGTATCTCTCGGCCTTAGTTCATGGGCTAAGCATTAATGTCTCTGGTATGAATCTCGTTTACTTTCTCCTTCTCTCTTCAAAACCATAACCACTGCTTCTCTAAAGCAGGGGGAGATTATGCATCCAAGTAGGGGGAGATTATGAAATGGGGTACAATGAAGCATTCGGTGTTGAAACACAAGTTGAGGAAGAGATGTGTGATTCTGAGTTTGAACGTGTCTCGGAGCTCTGATCAGTCTCCTTTTATCGTTTTATCTCTTGCTTTAAGAAAACTGTTCTTTATTATCTAAGACCTAAACCTATCTCAAAAGATCTTTTAAAACTCCAAATTTAATTTTCATCAAGATTTTGGTCTTTCTCTGAGTTGTTTATTGTGCTCTGCCTCCTCAGAAAAACACGGAAGTGGAATTCACTGAGGTGATTTCACATTATGGCTCTGTTCTGGCACTCATGAGCTCACTAATAGTACGAGCAGACCGTTTTCTTCTCTATGTTAAGTGCAGGGTGCTTGGATTGACAAACTCAAAGAAAAAGGGGGAGATTGTAGAAGCAGTAAAGTTCAACACAATACTTCAAGATCGAAGAAAGGAGAAAGGAGCAGTCTGTGTGTCACAACCTTACTCTGCCAGCTGGTGTGACAGGTGGCATCTCGAGCCATGTGAAGAGCAAGTTGCTATTGGTGCAGAGGAGCAGCTCAGAGAATAAAGAGTTGACATTATGAAAGGGAGAAAGGTGAAGCATGGCGTCTTGCGTAAATACGATAGGAATTTTGATACGGTGATTCACTGTTACAACACAGTCTTCTGTCTGCTGATCCGAAGGATGTATGAGAGAGAAGACGGTGATATAAAAAGAAGAAAAATAAGGATTCAGGAAGTCGGGACTGCAGAAATTAAAAAGCGTTTTCGGGTAGAACTCATTAGGGTTTATGGGTGGTGAGAGGCGTTCTTAATTGAGAAGTATTGAATTATTTGAGTGTGTATGATCACAGAAGAAGGGTAGACTAGGTAGAGTCTTGTAAACGAATCACTTGTTGTGAGTTCGTATTTTCCTGGGTAGTTAGGTTTGTATGGGTTCTAGAAGCAATTTGTGTTCTAAATTGCGCATATGAATAAAGTGATATTCATGTGATTGATTCAAGTGTGTTGTTCTCTGTGTTATTCGATTGGTATGTGGCTATATCTTTTTCACATATTATGCGTTGTTGATTGTTCATCCTAGT